ATTCTCTCTGTTGATGCCAGAAATTCCATTATCAAAGTTTCCTCTTGGCTTAAGTCCACTAATACCTGTCCTAATCCAAACTCCTCTGAAACAAGCTAAGCATTAAGCTGTCAGTAAGTTAAGCCTTTGGGGAATGACTATTTGAGGAAGGTTTAGATAGGAGAGTGGGCGAGGAAGCAGAAAGCTAAAGTCTTCACATTATGACAAAGTCAAGAAGACCAGGAAGGAAACAGGCCCCTTTCATCATTTTGCTCTGTTTTTACAAATAATTGGTAAACAAATGACTTTGGAATGTCAAAATCACCAGTACTGCCAGTTAAAAATTAATGCTGCCTTCCCAAATGGTGGTTCCTGGTTACACATTTGCCCGAAAAAGAAATCCCTAAAGAAACGTGGGCACCTAAAGCCAGGAGAACACAGTCATGTTTTATGGGCAGCATTTGGAGAAAGAAAGGAAAGGAAAGGAACACTTGAATGATTGATTTATTATTTGAATGATTTTATTTTGCTAGTAGATTTAAGTCATTCTTTTAATTCCTCTAAAGTAACCCATGATTCAAGAACTGTTATTATTCCCATTAAAAAAACAACACAAAGCAACTGAGAAGTTAGGACACTTGTCTCAGGTTGCACAGCTGGTCAGGTGGATGTGGGCCTCCCTGACCTGAAAGTTCTGTTCTGTCCCACTCTGCCTCACCAGGGCAGAAAGCTCAAATTCCACTGTGTTTTTTGTTTTTAAATATGTCTTTACTGATTTCAAAGAGAGGAAAGGAGAGGTAGAGAGAGAAACATCAGTGATGAGAGTCATTGATTGGCTGCTTCCTGCATACTCCCTACTGGGGATCTAGGCCACAACCGGGCATGTGCCCTGACCAGAAGTCAAACCGTGACCTCCTGGTTCATAGGTTGATACTCAACTGCTGAGCCACTCTGGCCGTGCAAATTCCACTGTTTTTAAGAAGGGTAGAGATGCCCTCTTTCATGGGTATCAGACACATAACTTCTCACTAATGTATCTACTGGACTAGCTGCGCAGCCAGGGAACCAATGTTATGGAGCAAAGAGGAGCTATTATGCTGAGGATCGAGGGGAAAAACTCCCCCTTTGAAATCTACATAAGCAAATGGGCAGAAATAAATCTCTGTTGGCTCATGACTTGGAGAAATCAGTCACAAGATTGGCTGTTCAGTGTTGGGGTTGGGGAATGAAAGTCTCCTGTGGAGAGTCAGGGCAAGTGCGAAGCCATGAAGCCTAGTGGTTAAGGCTCTGGAGTCACAGTTGAGCATGTGTGCTACTCTTCCACTTCCAAAGAGACTCGGCCCCTCTGAACCTCAACTTACTTGCCTGTCAAATGGGAATTGTGATTTAAAAAGATGGCACATTGAATGCCTGAAGTATAGGATGTGCTCAAAAACATTATCGTCTTTTATTTTCTTTTTCTTTTTCCTGCCTTCTCTTTGTAAGTCACAATCCAAAATTCTATTTTACACAAAAATTAATGTAAAGAGAAAAGAGATATCAAAGCCACTCCCACAAGCTTGCCTTTGTACAAATATATGGTCATCGCTTCCTGTTGGATTGTGTTGGACACATGTCGGATGTCCCGGGTGAAGCTTCGGAATGTGAGGACAGCTTTAAACATGGCCATTAAAGGAGACAAGGCCAAGTGAGTCTGTGACTTTCACCCCGAGCGATGCAGACAGAATAGCAAGGAAGAACGAAGGCATGTTTTCTTGGTGTCTCTGTCTTTCTGGTGGCTTTTGTGTGGTTTCCTTGGAAGGTTTACCCAGGCATTTTTCAGAAATAGCACAGTTGTTTGGATGATTATAGGCAATCACCGTTTCCCAGAGAAGGAGCTATGTTTAGCTCACTGACCGGCTGCTCCCCAGGGCCCAACTGGGGAAAGGTACAGCAGGACTGTTGTTTACCACGTATCAGATCTTATAAGGCCCAAGAAGAATGGCCTGAGGGCCTTAGGAGAGAGTGACCAAGAAGGATGGATTGTGAGGGGGGACCCAGAGCACTCATTTGGGAATCAAGGTGAGTTCTGACAGTGGAACATCAAACCCATCCAACAGAAGAGCAAGCCTGGTAGCAGGCTCACCTGACAGATGGTGAAGGCACAAATGTCTCTTAACATCCATGTTTGAAATCGACGAGTATTAAGAAATCAAAGGAGATCATCTCAGTTTAGAGGAGAAGTCACTCTTAGAAATCTTGAAGCTACACTGTCCAATAAAGTAGACACCAGCCATGCGTGGCTACTGAGCGCTTGGAATGTGATGAGTCCAAGTTGAGATGTGTCATAAAATACATGATTTCCAAGACTTAGCATAAAAAAGTAATATACCTTATTAATTTTTATGGTGATTACATGTGGAGGTGATAATATTTTAGATATATGGGTTAAATGAAATGTATTCTTAAAATTAATTTTACTTATTTTTGCCTTTTTTAGTGCCTACTGGAAAATTTTAAGTACATATTTGGCTCATATTAGGTTCCCACCAAACAGTGTTGCTTTAGAATTTCATACAGAATTTTTATACCTATTCATGACTCCAGTTACTATTTACTTCCACTTTATACCCTAGTTAGGATAATCTCCGTCTACTAACAACCAACACTTATCCAGAACTTTCCTACCCCAGGGCTTTTGCTCTCGCTTCTCACTCTCCCCAGGATGTTCACTCTCCCGGACCTTGTCACGTCTGACTCCTTTTTCAACTTTCTGATCTTTTCTCCAATGCCCTCCCTCTACAGAGGCCTGCTCTGACCACAGGTTGATCAGATCAACCTGTTCTACTATCTTTAGAGCTCTTGTTGATATCGCCCACCTTCCCAACTAGACTGTGAGCGGCATGAGAAACTCTACTGTGTTTGCCTATTTCCTGCCCTCAGAACAGTACCCAGCTCACAGTTGGCCCACAGTAAATATTTCCTGAATGGCTAAATGCATTAGCCTTAAATATGATTGAGACCGGTCTCTATTCTCAGGGAGCACGGGATTTAGTGGGTCCCAAGGACAAATATGTCTGCAAATGGAGTCGTCATATTACCGCCATGAGCCTTTTGTTGCGTTTTGCTGTGCGTAGTGCTAAGGAAATAACCCAAAAAAACAAGATAACCTCAAAGCTTAGACTTGTTGTTTACCCATAGTGGCAGATGGCTGTTGAGAAGGCTGCTTCCTTGTGCTCTTCTGTTTTTAAAAAATAGATTAAACATTCCAAAGACTGTGATTATGGGCAGGATCAGGGCATATATTTCTAGCTGTGGAAGACCCTAAGTGAAAAGGTGGTTTGAGTCCAAAGGGCAGGTTTTCAGAGACTTTTAAGGGGAGATTGACCTCTTCATACATCGCTAGATTACAGTGTGGTTGTAGACCACTGTGTGGAGCAGATGCTCATTTTTGTTTGCATATGTCCTATAAATGTGTGTGGGAAAGACAAATGCATTCCAGATGGTTAACCTTGACTGCCTCAGGGTTGTGGAGAAGGGTAGGATAATAACACGCTGTAATATTTACTTTATAGACTTCCATATTGTTTTATTTCTTGCAGTGACCATGGATAGATTTTTGTACTTTAAAAAATGAATAAAGTAGATTTTAGAAAGAAAATTTTAAAAAGAAAATACCAGGAAGCTTCCCTGTATTTGATAGGAGGTACTTCTCACATCTCAACTTTTTAAAAAAATCTCAGTTCTGTGCTACTAAAGCACAGGCCAGCAACCAATCTGAGTATCAGAAAATAAGAGGTAAAACTGATCTCACTTCTGGAGAATTTGATGATGTCATGGCTCCCTGAATGCCAACCAAGTGCACTAATATGCCACAACTCTCTTGCCATAGGACCTCCTTAACCTCTTTCGTTGAGAGGGTACCCTTTATTGAAGGCATCTATTATGAACAACATAATTACATTTACCATTTTGTTTTCTACTCAACCCTCAAAAGTAGGCCTTATTGTCCTCACTTACCAGATGTAGAAATTGAAGTCCAGGGAGGTTAGGTGAATTGCCCAAGGTCACGGCGCTAGTTAGAGGCAGAGCTCAACTTTAAACGTAGTCCTTTCTGACCTTTTTCCTAATTCACCACCATTTGCTGTCTCTTTCTGAGGGATTCGGTGTAATGAAGTGCTTTGCAGCTGGTTCCACAGATGAATTAAACTCTATTTTCAATGGAAGGTTAATTCTAGGCACCTGTGAAAGGCTTTGATCTCTAAAAGCTTTTCCCTAACTGGCCTTCCATGGAGCCTGATAGTCCACAAATAGAATCAGTCCTATTGGGTAACATCCCCTGGGATCCACTCTCCAAAGACAAGAACAAGGACCCTTAGAAATGGGTAACATGTACATCATTATAAATCATGAAGACCACCTGTGAATTAGTTATCAAGGAAATACAATCTAAAAAGCCTCCAAATGAATGAAACGTGGGGACCATAAGATTTGATGGGGGTGTGGTGAAGGAATAGTTATAGACCAGAGTCAGGAACTTGCTACAAGGCTGTCATTGTGGGACTGTGGACAACTAAGCAACCCAGAGAGGCCAGATGTAGGAAAGAAAGGTGCCACTAAAGGTATACATCACCATCCAGGTCAGGCCTGAGCTCAATTACTGAGTTTATAAGGCTATGGATAGGCCCAAAGCAGAGAAAACTGGCACATGTCTGGCTGGTTTCCTGTAGACTACACTACACATCCCAGGTTCAAGTTCTACAAATGCTGCTGTTTCTCACAAGATCCCTGGGACATAGGAAGCCATGGCCCAATGAGTGGAAATCATCACCCCATCAAGAAGACTATTCAAAGAGCATGTTCTCCTAGGAGTCTGCTCAGAGTGTCCTCAGTCATTGAGGGCCAAGAAGTGGATTCTGGATATTTAGGGGGTTGTTTTACAAAACTAATGTATCTTACCTAGTAATGGATTTCTGGAAGCAACCTGGACAATAATATTATTTCCTCTCTTTTTAAATGGGATATGCATTTTCTTCCCACAGAAAAAGCGCACGTTGAAGGGCTCCATTGAACTCTCCAGAATCAAATGTGTCGAGATTGTGAAAAGTGACATTAGCATCCCTTGCCACTATAAGTATCCTTTTCAGGTAAGTCTATCATGCCCTAGGGCACTAGTTCCTCATACCTTATATGACGGCTGAAGTCCTCAGTCATTGTAAGAGAAGGTGAGGATGACTTTGGTCTAGGATTACAACTTAGGCAGAGCCCAGAAGAAAGCTGCTGTGTTCTTTCAATCAATTGTGCAATTCTCAACCATTCAACAAAGATGAAGCACAAAACCTCTTAAAAGTTGTCATTCCTCATTCCCCTTTCCTTCATGTCTTCCCTACCTTAAAAAAATTCCTAATTGCTTTGCCCCTGGGGGAAGGAAAAAAAAAACTACCAAGGGCCCCAAGCCTAATGTTGTTTAAGTGCAGTTTACTCATGACTTGGGGTGACTGATTGCAATTCTTGGTTAGAAATTGCTTGGGGGCTCTGGGGTTAAAAAGAATCAGATTTTACTATCTGAGAACTATCTGGAGTTATGCTGTCCGATACAGTAGCCACTAGCCACATGTGGATGCTTAAAGTTAAATGTGAATTCATTTAAGTTAAACAATATTAAAAATTCAGCTCTGAGTCATATTAAGACACATTGAATGAATGAGCAATTCACATGTTCAATAGCCAAACATGGCTAGTAGCTACTGGATCGGACAGCACAGATGATAGAATTGCCATCCCTGCAGAAAGTTCTATTGGACAGAGCTAGTGGAGAGCATCTTTAGTCTTTAGGTTGTGACATTGTCTAAATCTTATTACCACTCTTGGCATTGTGGCTCGAGGAGTGGACAGCTCCTTGGGCATCCTAGCGTTTCATTCTTGCTTGACCACGTGAGTAACATAGAAAAAGGACATTTTTCCTACTAGAAAGGTGACTTCCATGGGTTGGAATTTTTAGAGCTGAAAGTAAAAGGAATAACATGTATTTTCCTGTCGTTAAAATTCCAATTAGAAATGCATGCATGAAAAAAACTGATGAAATTCAAAGAAGTTCTGTGATCTAGTTAACAGTATTGGCCCAGCGTTAATTTTCTGCTTTTGAAAATGTGCTGTGGTTATGTAAAAGGTTGTCATTGGGGAAAGGTAGGTACAAAGTATATAGGAACTCTGTACTATTTTTGGAACTTTTTGGGTGTCTTACATTATTTCAAAATGAGTCCTTAAAATTCCATTTAAACGTTTGTCATCGAATATCTTACTCTTTTATATGCCAGGTAGATTTTCTTTTCTGAAAAATGAACATGAGAAATAAAGGTGCTATCAACAGGAGAACTCTCTCCAGCTGTTTTAATTTAGTGATGGCTTACTTTTGACCAGTAGCTTAAGCTGTGGAGGTTCACTCTGTCTCTGCACAGCACCCAAACATCTGCATGAAAGAACACTGGTCCCCAATCACCCAGAGTTTGCCTTTTTGAAAACAAACACCGAGACCCCACTCTTGGCTCAGTAAGCCAGATGGGCCTACTGTCAGTTATCCATCTCCAGACACACTGCTCACCTTGATCTCTGTGTGTGTCTCCAGGTTGTGCACGACAACTACCTCCTCTATGTGTTTGCTCCAGACCGTGAGAGCCGGCAGCGTTGGGTGTTGGCTCTTAAAGAAGGTAATTAATCTCCTGTGTGACTGAGTCCTCAGATCCCTTGATCCTGTAGTGGGCTTGGGTTCCACAGTAGAATAAAGGGCAGCTGGTGGTCAAACATTTCTCCCATTTAGCATTGATGGAAGGTCTCAACCTTTCACTCTGGTTGCAAGTCCAGGGTCAGCCAAGTCCAGCCACCTCTTGTTTTTGTAAGGCTCCAAGCTAAGGATGTTTTGATTTTTGATTTTTAATGGTTCCATTTTAAAGAGTTATGTAAGTACCTACATAATGTATCTATTTTACCTACTGGTGTACAGCCTAAAATATTTACTCTTTGGCCCTTTAAGAAAAAGCTTGCTGACTCCTGCTATGGTGTGAAGAATAAAAGTGTGGACCCTCCATTTAGATGACCCAGGTTTGAGTCCTGGCTCTGCCACTCACTAGTCATGTGTGCTTGGGCAATTTCCTCAACTGCTCTGTGTTTCAGTTTCCCCATCTATTTTTAAAAGAGGGTGTAGGAGGGAATAAAAATAGTGTCTGCCTCCAGAACTGCTGTGAGTAAAGCCCTTGGAACTAGCCTGGCCCACAGTCAGCACCCAATAAATGTTAACTAGCTTTACATGTTTTCAGATCATCAGTGAGGGTATTTCTTAAAGCTCATTTTTCTGAAAGCATAATTAGAACCAGCACAGCATTTAGGTCCACGGGATGTAGAGCCAGGCTGCTAAGGTGAGAATCCCAGCTCTGCCAATTATTAGTGTGTGACCTTGAGCAAGGTCCTTGACCTTTTTTGGTGTCTCCGTCACCTCAGCTGTGATTTCTGACTGGTAAACATTCATAAAGTTATTGTGAGAATTAATGGGCTAGGTCATGTCAGACACACAAGGACAATACTGAAAGGAAGTACTCAATTGGTATTATGATTATTTCTATTTCGCCTGAAGCCTTGGATTTGCAGGAGAACTGGGTTCAAATATTAATCTGTCTCTAAGTAGCTATGAGGACTTAGGGTAAACAAGCCATTTGAAATCAAAGGAGCCACAATGTTCCTATCTGAAAAATGAGAATAAAAATGCAAGTCTTATTTTCTTCCAAGGTTATTGTAAGTCTCAAATGGACCATTTGAGCACATTGTCAAGTGCTAGGCAAACTGGAAAGTGCTCTCAAGTACAACTAAGTCACGGGGCACAGAACAAACACAAAAATAATCTAAAGGGCTCCAACTACGATCATTGGCCATTCTCCTTCTGTGCGAGGTTTTTTACTCAGGATGCTAAAACTAGAAGGAGCATTAAAGAGAATCTGTCCAGTTCTCTGGCTTTTATACTGTTTTTTCTCAGCAGTAGAGTCTTTTTTTTTTTTTTCCTACCATAACCTTACTTTAAAGCCACAAATCTAGAAGGGATAAAAGCAAAGTTGCTGTGGTTGGAGGTGGGAGATGAAAAGGGGGAACCCCACCTACTCAGTCTTCCCATTACCCTAAGGCACTTCTGTGGGGCTCACTGATCCAGTCTAACCACCTCATTGCACAGTGGGGAACCTGAGGCTCAGACGAGGGTTTTGCCCAACCTAAGGACACACAACTAATCCAAGGCAGAGCCAGATGAGAACCCGGATCTGCTGATGCCTAAGTCCAAAGTGCCTTCCTGAGTACATATATATGCTGGGGGAAAGGGCCATTCATTTTTCTGACTATTCTGAGTACTGTGCACTCAAGTTTACCCAGCTGGGTCCAATCTCAAGGAGTTATCAAGTAGGTGGCCCTTGATAGACTGATCTGTAAATAACTCTTCTGCTGGTGCCAACCCCTTTCAGAAACAAGGAACAATAACAGTTTGGTGCCCAAGTACCATCCTAATTTCTGGATGGATGGGAGGTGGAGGTGCTGTGCTCAGCTGGAGAAGCTTGCAGTGGGCTGTGCCCAGTACGACCCAACCAAGAACGGTAAGACCCTGAGAATTCCCTTTCTTCTTTGTAAAATGAATGACCTCTCTACTAGTAGGAAGTAAAGCTCTCAGCTTCCCATCATCAGGGGTGTCAAAGACTGAATGTTGGGAATCATCTGCCTCCGCTACCAGTCTGTTGATTTATTTATTTATTTATTTTTCATCTTTACACCTCCTCGCTACTCAAAGCATGGTCCTTGGACCAGCAGCGTCAACATCACCTGAGAGCTAGTTAGAAATGCAAATTCTCTGGCCCCATCCCAGGTCTTCTGGATCAGAATTTGTATTTTCACAAGCTCCCCAGGAGATTTGTGTGCACAGTAATTTTGAGAAGCACTGCTATAACCTTCAAGTTAGGAAATTTGAACGGCATGGTCTACTTAGATCTTAAGTTGTAGGGACAGCCTTAAGAGGTATATAATATACATTTTTTACGGTCACCACATCACATAAGTGTTTAATCACACAAGTTCAACTCTATACACTTGGAGGGGAAAGAAAGGAAAAACAAAACAACTGCTTATTTTGCTCCCTGGCTTCTCCCCACCTACCCTTCAAACTTGCCCTTGACCTCCACAACCTCAGAGAAAAAGAGGCCACAGCCTACGTGCAAAGTGAAAACAAAAGTTGCCTCTTGGTCTTTGAGGTCAAGGGCCCAGGCCCTGGGGATTGGAGTGCACCTCAGTTTTACCTTATGTGATGATTTTGGGACCTGAACTCCCAACGAAGTGCAGCTCCACTGTGACCCACTTTTATATGCAATATGTCCCCATTCCTCTTAACCATCTAGGGTAGCCAATGTGATGTTAAAGGAAGAAAAGACTTGAGCAGTTGAGTATGCTCAAGGTCGCACAGCTAGGATGTGCTCTGCAGAGCCATTGCTGAATACGGACGATGGATAGATTATGTGGATTTGGGGCTCCCATTCCCCTCTCTTCTCAACCCCTCTTACCCTAACTACCTTTACTCATCGGTTGGTTTCTTTTTCTGCACTGAAACCTTTTACCTCAGGTTGACAGCCCAAGGCGGATGTGTTAAATGTAACACATGGCTGGGTTTTCCGTGGCTTCCTGAGTCATAGCCCCTTTTAGTACTACTTTAAAAACTGCCGCTTCTCACCCTCCACCTTGGAAGAGAAAGTTCAAGGTTACCAGCCCCTTGGCCCAGAAGAATGCTATTTATCTAATTTTAGGAGCCAATGATCCTCTGCATTAGCCCTGTTGACCATACTTGCGAAGACGGGTATTTAATGAGAAGGAAATGGAAGGTTTTATATGGGTGGAATCAACCACAGTGACAAGGTGTCGTGCACTGGCCTCAGTGAGTGAAAACCCTTTCCAAAGCCAGAAATCTGGTCTCCAAATTCCTGCCAGCACCTTGCTGTGGGCCTGCAGATGAGTCACTTGGCCATTAAGGACCCTAACATCTTCATCTCTGAAATGGTCAGGGAAGTTTTAAGGGGCCTAAGATGAAATATTTGCTAAGCTCCCTGCCAGCTTTGAAATTCTTTGAGTCTGTCTTTCCATGTTCTGTTTCCACCATGCATGTCACAGCTGTTCCCCTTCATGGTTCGCAGTCTTTCCTTCCACCGAGTGGTGGACACATGACCAAGGGGTGAGGACCACCTGCATGACTCACCAGATGACACTTAAGGAGGCTGGTCATGCTGAGTTTCTCCCCACATGAACCCAGGGCCTACCCACTGGACACTCACTTTGCCAACGGTCCTGCTTCTGCATTGTCACCTACAACAACGTCCCAATCTTAGCATGCACCCATTCTACTCTTTCTGACTTGTTTTAAATACTCTCATGCACCACAGCTTTGATAGAATTGAGGGCAGAGCGCCTGAGGGCACACCACGCTGTGCACACAGCACATGATCATTGGCTCGTGGCACATGTACAGGGCAGGGTCCAAGACCACAAATCTCTGGGATGAAAAAACACTTGAGGGTGAGTCCCAGCCCCATCGCTTTCTTGCTATGTTACTTAACCTATCTGAGTCTCTGAGCCAGTTTCCTCATCTGTAAAATGGGGCCGATGATAATAAATAGCTACTTTGTGGGGTTGTGGGAGACTCGGGGCATGCAAAGCTCTTGGCACAGCTGCGGGCACTTCCTGAGCTCGTGATGAATGGAGTTGCGTCTACTAGCCTTCCTTATCTGTGGACAGAAGAATGAAGCTCTACCCAGCCCACAGAAACACTTATTTCTGCAGCCAGAACTGGCCCTGATCTCACCACATACCAGCTTCACACAGAAGGCCAGGAAGGAAGGGGAGAGCAAGGCCAGGGGACAGAGAGGCCAGTCCCAGAATGTTCAGGGCCAGAAGGGGCCCAAGGCCACACAGCTGGTATGTGGTGGAGCCGGGGGTAGAATGCCAGTCTCCTGGCTCCAAGTTCAGGGCTGAATAGGAAGCATGCTCCCTATTATGTTGTTTTCCTTCTTCTCTGTGAATTGCATACCCAATACCCCACCCTGCCCTTGCCCAAGGACTTAGCCCAAAGGCTGGGCCCCAGGGTCACTGTGCGAACCTCCTTACCACGTCCCTGGCATGGGCTGTTCATTCAAGTCAGCCTCAGGCAGGGATGAGCCACTCAGCCCCTGATGCAGCCCAGTCCCTTCTCTGATGGCTGAAGAAATCTTTGAATTGAGCAGAAGCCTGGGCACTGCCTCCTGTGTGACCCCAGACCCCCATGCTTGGTCCATTGACTCTGGGCCTGACTTTTCAGTGCATCAAAGGAGAAATACTGAGAGACAGAGGTGAAGAGATGAAAGGAAAGGGACAGGAAAAAGGAGAGAGAGAAGCGAGGAGAAAGGAGGCCAGAAGGAATAGAGAGAGGAGAGATAAAGGGCTTTGCTGTGCGCTGTTCGGAGGAGGCCGCATCAACACATATTCAGACACCTCAGGGTAACAAAGTGGATTTCACACTGGCCGCCCCCTCAGCCACCCCCCCTCAAGCCCACAGCAGCATCAGGAAGCCAGTGAGTCACTGTCCCCTTGCGTCACCCATTCCCACTCCCGGGTTTAGCAGGTGGCAGGGGCCATCGAGGAAGTCTCCAGAACTACAGGGCAGGGCACAAGCCTAGTCCCTCTGCCACAACCTTGGGATTGGGATTAGGCTTTGCCTGGGAATACAGAAAAAGAGGCCCAGATATCGGCTTCGGAGAAATCCTGGTGTCTCCTAGAAAGCAACATCAGGAGCCCGCAGGCTCAGGGAGATGCCACAGAGGCTCTGACAGGGTCTGTTTTTGTCTCTCTGCACCTCACAGTCTCCTCCTGGCCCCTTTCTCCCGCTGTGCTCCTCAGGGCTCCTTTTTCTCGGAAAAGCCCCCAACTGCTCACCTCCGGTTGGGGATGTTCAGTTTCAGGCTCATTTTCTTTTTCTGTTTGTCTTGTTTCAGCTTCAAAGAAGCCTCTTCCTCCCACTCCTGAGGATAACAGGGTGAGTGGGCGCTCAGGCGCCGGCGCGGGTGGGCGCGGGCTCCCGGCCGGCCTGTCCGCTCGCGTTTCCCTGCCTGCCCGGGCCTCTCAGGCCCTCTGCGGTGCACTAGGCTGTGGGGACTCACTGAGCTCCGCACACTGTGTTTCTTGGGCCTGGATGGTCTCATGGGTCTGTCTACGTAAAAGGACCACTCAGCTGCTAACTCTTCACCTCGCTTTATCCGCTCAATAAACACGTACTGTATCAAATTGTGTGTCCAGCCACGCGACCACTTGGGAGTATTGTAACAGCTCACATCCATGTAAAACTGCAAATTTACCATACATAAAACATCTACTCTATGGAAAATTGCATAGTCATTCTCCATAAAGGCACTTTGGAAGCGTACATTTGATAATACTTTATATTTTTCAAAGCACTCCCATATTTTTACTATCTATTTCAAAACTCACTATCAGTTCTAGCCACTTAGAGAGAGTTTTATTCTCTTTTTAAAGCTTAGGAAATCAAGTCCCAAAGGACGTTTGGGGACTCTCCCGAGGCCATTCAGACACTTAAGGGTCAAACCAGGAGGCTGCAGAGTTTCTGGTGGGGTGGTCTCTAATTCGAGTGGTAGTTCCCAAAGTCTAGTCCATGGACCAGCAGCAGCAGCATCACCTGGGAGCTTGTTAGAAATGCAGATTCTCAGGCCCCACCCCAGACCTACTGCATCCACAACTCCGGGGAAGGACACCGGCAATCTGTATTTTAATAAAGCTCCAGGTGGGTCTGAGGCACACTGAAGCTTGAGAAACGCGGGCCTAAAACACTGACTTACAAGACAGGTGATAGGGAGTCAACTCTGGGGAAGCTATTTAGTCAAGAAGACAAAAGAAGAAAAAAAAGGTCAGTCCTCCCCTTATGGTCTTATCGACACCAAACACCGCATGTTAGTAACTGCCCTTGAATTCCAGAACCTACTGACTCTGCTTCCTGGCTTCTTCCTGCAGAATGAGCTCTGCTGTCTTTCCTCTAGCCAATACTGTGACATTTCAAAAACTGGCAGTTTTCCCATAAGAGAAGTTCTAAATCACTCAAAACCTCAGGCTGGTTTTTAGATCTGTCATCAGCCGAATCCCTCAGAACAGGAAAGAAGTGTGCTTAAGCTGTAACCGAAAATGAGCTCTTTTCCCTTTTTTCTAGTTGATCTTTGAATTAATATTTCACCCCATCTCTTGAAGACATGGTTTGGAATCTCACCACCCCAGCAATGCAGACGGTCCCCCCCACAGTCTCATCTAAACGCACACCTCTGCACCTTAAGCCAGTTTGACCTTGTCTTATTTCCCCTGTCAATGAAGGTGAAGGCCAGAAAACACTGCCCGCCCATCTCTCCTTGGATTCTGCCATTTGGGTCTTGAAGACTTCCCGGAGGAGCAGCGTCCATGCTATTTTAGCCCTCTGACCACAGGGCCTTTGCAATCATTGTTTTAGTTTCAACCACACATCTAAATCCATTGCAACATTTCTCACCTTGAGCCAATTGAATTTATTTCTCCCTTCACTTTTGTACTCTGTCCCCTAATGGGTGACGGCATCTTGAATAGGCACCTAGAGATGCTATATGTATTTTTAATCCAGTCTGAGCTAATAAGCCTGATGCTCTGTGTGAGAGAGACTGTGGAACAGTCATATCCCTCCTTTAGCTTCAGGTGCCCTTGAACACAACTCCTTTTCTTAGGGTGAAAGTCTCAGGCCCATCAACTCCTGTTCATAAAACCCAATGTACCACCTCACAAACTCTACAAATATCTAGGCTTCAAATTCCAATCTGGGTTCAGCTGGGATCACATACTATATCAGTGTGGCAAGTCTTTTTTTTTCTTTTATTTTTAAGCCTTAGTATTTTTATGCTATCAAATGCTTCAGCTACTCAGAGAACTTGACTTTTATAACAACAAACCTTGTTCTAGCCAATAATGGCAATCTCTTCCCTTATTTACTCTCTCACTAAATCTGCCGACTGCGGCAGGTGTGCCCATCCTGAACTTGTTGGCCTTACAATCTCTTCTTCACGTCCTCAGTATCTCATCCTAAGAAAGGCACTAAGGAAGTAGACACATAGGCCACAGAGCCCACAAGAGAAAGAGGGGAGCCCATGTGCTATAGTGGAAAGAGCATTAAGACCAATTCAAGTACTAAACTGAGCCACATCCATTTCTCCATCTGGGCCTCAGTTTCCCCATTCTAAACAAAAGAGTAGATTAAACGAGCTCTCAGAGGAATTCCAGCCTATGGATCTGGACAAACCCACAAGTCAAGTCAGAAAAGTATGGACTAAATGATTTAGTGTTGACCGTGTCGTCTTTGCCAAGAATGTGATGCTTCTGGCAGAGAGGTTGCAACATGTGACACGGTACAAATAGAGAAATCAGCAGACTTTTGTGAAGTGCATGCGGCTACTTGGAATTCACTTGGGTCAGAATTTACCTTGTAGAATGGGAGGGGTGATGAGTTCAGGTATTGAATTTCTTTATGTCATATTAACACCAAAATCCTAACACATGAAGAAAGCCAACTAGAGGAAGGCAGTTGTCTCGGAGAACATCCCAGTGGCTTGTAGGAACCAGTGTTTGACCTGGCTCCCACCCAGGAGCAAGTTATGGCTCAGGGACTGGCTGACCTCGCCCTGCAGTTTCCCTCCTTTCTGCATCTGTGCTTGATTTTGCCGTCTCCCCCCAGCGATCACTTCACGAGCCTGAAGAAACCCTGGTCATCGCCCTGTATGACTACCAAACGAGCGATCCCCAGGAACTGGCGCTGCAGCGCAATGAGGAATACTACCTGCTGGACAGCTCCGAGATTCACTGGTGGCGAGTTCAAGACAAGAACGGGTAAGGGTCTTTGTGGTCACCGTCCAGCCTTCGGGGTGAGGTGGGAGCAGGCCCTGGGGGACTTGCCCTGCCTCTTCCAGCATGACCACTGCACTGAGTTAGGAGAGGGAGCAGAGGCAGAGGCAGGAAGAAGTCGTTGAGAGGTGTCTTTCCACTTCTCAGAAGCAGCTGGGAGGCAGTCACTTGCTCTGCTTGCGCCCTGTGCCCCATCCAGCCCCCCAGCCCCCAAACATCTAAAACTCTCCTGCGTTTTTTCTACTGGCATCCACCGTTTGGGAGATCAGCAGGTTGTTCCACAAAGAAGCGCTATTGTGTGCACACTGGGAGGCTGTATCAGAAACAGGTTCAAGACCGCCTGGCTCTCCCCAAACACCAGAGGGACTTACTCAGAAATCCATCCCCTCAATCAACTGACATTTTTTTAGCGCCTGAGGTGCCAGGAAATTTCTTCTAGGTCTCACTTTCCCAAATGACAGTTTACCCTTTGTTCAGTGGCCTGTGGAAAGGCTCAACTCTGCACTTCGCAGGGCTTTGAAGAGGACACCCCAGAGGCCAATGGGTGCATGGAAATTTCCCCCATTTGCTTTGTAATCGTGTGGCACAGTGGAAAGTACACAAGGTGGCAAGACAGAGGGTTGGACTTGAGTATCAGCTGCTCTTCTTGCATAGGGCTTTGCAAACGTCTCTTAATCTCTGTGAATGCATTTCCTTATCTGTAAAATACAGATAATAACATCAGTTTTATTTATGGATTTGAGAGAGAGAGAGAGAGAGAGAGAGATTTGTTGTTCCACGTATTTATGCATTCATTGGTTGATTCTTGTATGTGCCCTGGTGGGGGATTGAACCTACAACCTTGGCGTATCAGGGTGATGCTCCAACCAACCGAGCCACCTGGCCAGGGCTGATAATATCAGCTTTGACTGTCTCATAATGTTGAGAAAAATCAGTGAGATGTTGAAAGTGACAGGGCTTTGTAAATTCTATATCGGCGTACAAGTGAAGAGAACAACCATCGTTTGTGTAGATAACCCAGCTTTGGCTGGCATATTAAAACACATTCTATCTGAAAGCAAAAATAGAATTTGACCTATTAATATAACTGTAAACATATGGTGTGACAAAAAAAAAACAAAACAACAACCAACGCATCTATAATTAAGGGGAATTCCCAAAGAGAGATATAAAAGGAATAGCAAATTTCAGACCAAGTTGACTCCCATCCATTGGCACTGATGGCCCTGTGCACTGTGTTAAGGAGGATTCTGAGGCTGGATGTCCAGTTCTCCAAAGAAAGCATGTCGTGGTTGACTAGCAGTGTCAGCCACGGGCAGGAGAAACGAGACAGTCATCCCATATTTGACATCCTCGCTTCCTTCAAACCTCAAAACAATTCTGTGAAATAGATGGCACATTCCCATCATCGTAACCACTGGATTGAAATATGGCAAAACACGCTATGGAGTGAAGAGCGAGACGCCATCAGGCATCGTGTGATAGACCGGCCGGGTCTGGAGGGATTTTCCGTGGCATCTAGTTTAGGCTCCTCATTACAGGCGCAGTCAGGCTGGGCGCGAAGGGACACAGTTCCCACCCTGCGGTGTTAAACGGCTTTGAAGAGTAACCTGTGAAGTATTTCAGCGCGCTTATGAGGCCCTTAACCTATGTCTTAGTTTATGCCCAATTATTTATTCCTGCTCAAAAGGGACTCCCACCCCCAGATCCAACATGACTGTTTCCTTTTTTTATCACGTTTTACCTTTTATGTCTGAAGGGGCTTAATTAACAACAAATATTCGGGGGGCCTAGGATTAAAACTTACGATGCTGACTGGCAGGATCTTTTGGCACCTGCGGTTGGATAGTAATTTTTGATATTTTAATTATCTTGGTTTCCTGACCATAAAATAATAGCATGAAAGTGGAAAAAGTACTGATTACCACACACAAGAAAACGTTTCCTTTTAGAAAACGGAGACCGCACGTTGATCTCTTTTTTTTTTTTTCCGGTAGAGGGACTTTCACAACGTGGAGAAGAGCAAGCAGCGCTTTAAAAGCAAAATAGCCACGTCTTATTTACTGTGGCTCCTATTTCAGGAGTGACTCCACCGCCCTTAACAGATGAATTATTGTTATTTTCCAGCAATGCTTCTATTCTAAAGCTTTAAAATGTCTTATCAGGAATGCCACATAATGCGAGACTCTCATCTCCAAGAGATTCTAGCGAGTAAAACTTATAAAGTGGAGATGTGAAAATTAGTCCTACATTAGTCTAAACACTGATTTCCCTTTTAACAGGCATGAAGGATACGTACCAAGCAGTTATCTGGTGGAAAAGTCTGCAAATAACCTGGAAACCTACGAGTAAGATTTTTATTTAGTCTACAAAAATATGGTACTAAGGAGTCCTCTTTAGATCAGAAACAAATTGTTGGCTGATTATAAAATTACCAGGCATTTTCCCTTCCTGACCTGCTTTCTTCTCCCCACACTCTGGTCCCTAAATAACAGTAGAGGAACATTTTGAATAGGAGGCGGAGGGGATGTGTACGCATCTGCCCTTGTATCCAGAGGATGCTTCTCGGATGCTTGTGCAGATTGTACACACGGGCTCAAAGCGTCAACTGATTCGGGCAAGTGCCATCAATGAATGTCACAACTAGGGGGTGACAGTTTGATAGCTGCATAAGCTCAAGGTATTTTCTGACAAGTCACTTATTGATAAGAAAGTCAAAATACCTGGCAGACCACATTTTAACCAAACGATCCACAATAGGGAGGACAGACATCATGTATCTCCTGAAGCGATGCATGGAGGACACATCACTCTCATGATATTCCTGCCCGAACATGCATAATCTCAACGTAGTCACGAGGAAATAACAGACAAATCCAGAGAACAGGATGTTTTTTAAAAATATGTTTTCATTAATGTCAGAGAGAGGAAGGGAGAGGGAGAGTTGGAAACATCAATGATGAGAGAGTCACTGATCAAGCCCGCAACCCGGGCATGTGCCCTGACCGGGAATCGAACCGCGATCTCCTGGATCCTAGGTCGATGCTCAACCGCTGAGCCACGCTGGCCGGGCCAAAGTGAGGGATATTTTATAAAATAATTGTCCTGTGTTCTCAAAAATGTAAACATCGTGAAAGATAAGAAAAGCAGAGAAACTGGTCCACATTAAAGGAGACTTAAAGAGATATGGAAACTAAACGCACTAGTAATCCTGGATCAGATCTTTCATCATGGCAAAAAATAGTTACAATACACATTATTGGGACAACTGATAAAGGTTGAACAAGGTCTTAAATTAAATAATAGTATTGTACCAATGTTAAATTTCCCAATTTGGATAATTGTATTATGGTGATATAAGTGTATATTCTATTTCTTCAAAATGCATACTGAAGTTCTTAGGAATAAAAGTCTATTTTCAAATGGTTCAGAAAAAAATATATTTATCCATCCAGAGACACTGTTAAAGCAAATGTAAGCAATTGATTCATCTGGGTGAAGTGTGTATGGGAGTTCTTTTATAGTATCCTATAACTTCTCTATACATTTGAAATTATCTAAAAATAAAAAAATTTTAAGTCCTCACCAAATATATGATACCAGGGTTGAAGAATACTAACTATGAGGACTTTTATTAACTCAGGTGGGTTCTTATTAGTTCAAGTGTGGTCAAGTTATTTGTTGTTGAAATTCAAATTCATGCTCCAGTGAAGAGCTATCATTTATTTTTTGAAGGCTCTCTCAGCCTGAGATTCATTTTGATGATGTACAAGTGACTAGCCCTCCACCCCTCAGCTAAAAGAGAAGTCAGCTCCAAAAATCCTTGAGCAGCAATGAAACCTGTCTAAAACATGCTTAAAGAGGATTCTTTTTCTTTTTCTATAGTCAATGCCTTTAGGAAAAAAGGGGGGGGGGGCATTTATTTCAAATGATCAGNTTTTTTTTCTTTTTCTATAGTCAATGCCTTTAGGAAAAAAGGGGGGGGGGCATTTATTTCAAATGATCAGCAGGCTGAGATTGTTTGTTTTTGCCTTTAATTAGAATGTCTTAATTTATGATAAAGGAGACAAACCCCAAATTCCAAGGCAATAGGGAATTGTGGAGCCTGGGGCAAATAAAAAAGAAATCTATTCCCCCTCTTGAAGATATTTCTGGCATTAATGATCTTTCATAAATAAATCATTAAAAATTTTTAAATGTCATTGACATGACTTTTCCCTGCTTGCAGGTGGTACAATAAAAGTATCAGCCGAGACAAAGCTGAAAAACTTCTTTTGGACACAGTAAGTCTCCTTAACATGCCTTTTGACTTAAAATAAATTGTGCTGGGTTGTTTTTTTGGTTTTTTTTCAGCCTTGCTGTGGTTGATGCCAATGTAGTGAAACCATATATTGCATTAACAGTGTTTTTCATGCCTCGTAAAATAATACTCTGGGGATTCACAGAATAAGCATACAGCAGGGTAAGAAATCTGGGGAGGGTCAAAGGTCTTGGTATTGAGAGGCATCCATTGCTGCAGGCGCGGTGGACTCTCGGGCTGTGATGACTGACACGGGGAGCCGCGGGCTGTCTCCCTTGCCCGTTTCTCTGGCGGGGTCAGGGGAGGCCCTGACTCAGATTGTGCCTGGCTGAGCTGTGGGTGCAGAGGAAATACACCACTGTTTGAACTTATTTTTCATACAACAGTTCTCGAGAGCCATGCAATGTGAGTGGCAGCACTGATCTTACCCAGCCAGGGACATCAGGATTAAGGGACAGAGGGATGAGAAAAGGGAAAGTATGGTGCAGTGGGAAAAGTAGGGTTCTGGTCCCTGCTCTGTCTCTAACTCAGTGTGTGACTTTGGGGACATCTCATCTTTCTTCTGGGCCTGTTTCTCAATGAGCACAAGATGAGGGTTGGGCTAAATCAGGAATAACAATTTCCCAGCAGTCATACTGCTACTCTTTGCTCCTGTTCTATGTCCAACACGGTTAATCACAGTTCATGGCTTTGAGATCCTTTCAACACAGTCTCCCAACAGCTGCCACTGAGTCATTAGCTCCCAAAGTGAACACTCTCTTCCTGGACCAGAAAATTATTTGTTATCCTAGGGTACTGCCTCTCAACATATCCAGGATGGATCACTTTTCATGGTTTGTTTTTCATTTCCAATTTGTCACAAATTTATATTTTAGAAAATACAATAAAAATAAATTACTAGAAAACATTTAAAAAGAAACAAAGACAAAAATGCAAGTCCAATCTTTTTTTATTATTATTACATTCATTGGACATAAAATTAATCTCTCTGATTGCTATAAAAAGTTTCTAAATGCTTACTCAGTTTCTCTGTCTGGTAGTGGACCAGTAATCATTTGTCAACTGGCACTCATCTGCAAACCACACATTGGGTAGCACTGAGAACAGCACATTTATGGCTCTCGCAGAGAAATCAAAAACATGGAGGTATTGAGAGAAAGCCTCCACAGAGCAATCAATTAATTTATCAGCAAATATGCCTAGAGGAGTGGTTCCCAGACCTATCTGCACAGTAGAATAGCCTGGGAAACATTTTAAAAACCAGTACCCGGGCCAAACCCCAGATTCATTAAATCAGCATGTCTAGGGTTGGAAGGGCCCAGGAATTAGTCATTTAGAGAAAAATCTCCCCAGCTGAGCCTAATATTCAGACAATGCTAACAACCAGTGCCCAACCCTAGCCTTAGTGAAACCAGTAAACAGTCAGTAATTAATGAGTTAATGAAGGCGTCAGTGTCCTTATGCCAAATGTCAACACTGTCTGCCATTTCACCATATACCATTTCCAGTTACGGCTTGAAAGTATTTCCTAACTTTAAGAATCTTAAACTGCAAACCTCCCCCCAAAATGGAATGAAGCCGGAGTAGCCAACTCACCCTGGCTAGGCCGGGATTATCCTATTTTTAACACTGAGACTCCTTTGTCCCAGGAGCATCCCCAACCCTGCACCAGTCCCAGGCAAATGGACAGTTGGCCACCCAAACCATCCACGATTTGGGACCGTGGTTAGGAGTGAGCCTAAGAGAAAGAAACCTGGGACGCTGTCAGGAAGGGCATGAAAGGCTGTGATGGTGGAGTGATGGTGAATATTGTCAAAGAATAATTTAAAGACATGGAGTTCATCATTAATGTCTATTTACTTTTGCACAAGAAAAACTGATAATAGATTTATTCATTCTATCAGAGAGAAAAAAATACAATATCTGTAAGAGGAAAATGGCAGGGAGAAAAGGAAAGTCCACAGTCTTTTTTGGGAACAGTGAACATGGTTTTTCTTCTTTGGGTTAAGATGCTATTAGCAGGCAGCTAACAAGAGGATGAGGGGAGATGCTCTGCCCTTGGGGAACTTTGCCCTCAACAAAGAGGGCAAGGTTACTTGCTTGTGGATTTTCCAAAAGACTCGGTGTGTCTACCAGTGATGAACGTCATACAGGCAGCCTCTTATGTCTGCTGTCTCACTTCTCAGCCGTCTCACTTGTGGTATGTTTGCAGCACTTCTTTTATTAGACTTCTCGACATAAACTCAGGGACCTTACCATTTTGCTGACTAAGTACTTAGGGGTGCTTGAGACAGGATCTTTGACCTCAGGGAGCTCTGGACTCTACTGGGAAACAAAACAAACTCTGAAGAAAGACTTAGAGGATAATCCCTGCTCTCTTATTTTTTCTATATAAAGTATAAAAGGTAAACTGAGACACCGACAATGTCCCATGAGAGCGAGGGTTCCCCCCCACCCCACCCCAGGCTGCATTGCCCAGGTCAGTGCCCCCTTGCATGGCGGTAATATGAGCAAAGACCCCTCAGGCTCCAGTGTTCTGGGTGGTTGTGACTTCCTCTGAGCCCTTTTCAGGAAGTCGGTGGTGTGGCATGTGCCTCATTTTCAACCAGAGCTCTAGGCCACCTCAGCCCAAACCAGGGTTTCCTGTCACCTTCACCGCCTGTCGCCTACAGCAACTGCAGTGGAGGAAGAGCTCCGAGCGCCCTGTGCTCGGCAGAGCTGGCTGCAAGCCTGACTTCGCCTTTTGCTCATGTCTGTGGCTGACTCTTGTTAACAACTGGGTCCTGCTCTGATTACAAATTTTTGCTTAAAAAAAAATAATGATAACAAATGGTTTCTTTGAAAGAACAACAACAAAACGTTCTTAATTAAACGGAAGGGATGCTCTTACTCCCCTCCTCACAAGGCAGTTGGCTAACTCCTGGGCTGTTGGGTCTGTCTCTTCCCCTTTACTGTAGGTTACACGTGCAGACAAAGTCGGCCTCTGTTGAAGTTTTGCTTCTCCCTGCCTTGCGTTTAACGCACCCCATTTCAATGAGGCAAGAGCCAAGCTTCACTATTGGGCAAAAGGGGAGAAATTTTGAAGACAATCTATGCTACACGTAATGGATGTCACAAACATGATGTTAAGAGATAAAGCTGACATATAACATTGTGTACATTCAAGGTGTACAGCATGATCTGATTCATGTGTATATTGCAAACTGATCACCACAATTAGTTAATATCCATCACCACACAGTTACAAGTTGGTTTTTTCTTATGATAACTTTGAAGATCTACTCTCTCAGCAACATTCAAATACATCATAGCAACTTTCAAACATACAATTCAGTATCATTAACTAGAGTTGCCATGCTGTATGTTACATCCCCATGACTTACTTATCTTACAGCTGGAAGTTTATACCTTTTGACCACCTTCATCCAATTCCCCGACTCTCCAACCACCCCCACCACCCCCATCCCAAATTTCAGAAGAGACTCTTGAAACACCCGGCAGAGATAAGAAGAGTTTGGGGAGTTTCACAAAGTTTATGTGGTAAACTATATGTTTGGCAACAATGAACAATATTGTAAGGGCCAACTGTCCCCAGCCTCCCGCCCCCCTCCACAGTCCTGTAGGGTTAGGGCCAAGTTAGAGTAAGCAGGTTATGCTTCTGTGCAGGGTTAAGCCGTCTCATTATTAGTGCTGCTTTGTGAGACAGAGAATCTCCATGAGGACTGTTATGAGCAAGAGCTGCGTGTTTTGCTGAGTCAGTGGAAATCAAGCCTAAATGTCTGTTAAGAATCACATGGCAAGCTTTTGAAAAGTTCAGGTTCCAGGGTCTTGGAGATTCTAGTGCATGGATATGGGGTGGAGTGTGGTCCCCTGTTTGCTGTTGCTATTTTGTTTTGCCTCAGGTAATTGTGATAATCAGCAAAGTTTGGGGCACAGGGGTTTAGGAAGTTAGGCCAGATCAGTGATTCTCAGCCAGAGGTGATTTTGTCTGCCAGGGAACACTTGCTAATGTCTGTCATCTAGTTGTTAGAGGCCAGGGATGCTGCTAAGCATCCGATAAAACAGGAAAGCCTCCTACCACATAGAATTACCGGGCCTAAAATGTCAATGGTGCTGAGGTTGGGATAACCTTGAACTAGACAACCTTTACATGGCCCTTTCTAACCCTGAGATTCTGGGATTCAAACAATTATCAAGGCCATCTCTAGGTACTATTTTTATGTGTAGACAGCCCACCTTTGGGGTTGTGAGATGGAGGTGCCTGTGTTGTTCTAAATTGTATAATATACTTTGCCCTGCATGCTGCAAGCGTATGCCCACCCCACAAGGCTCCTGTCTCTTTCTGGCCTTCACTCAAGGACCACATTATGTCTAAATCATAAAATAAGTTTTGCAAACATTACCAGCAGAGATTTACAGCTGGATAGGAACAGAGCATTAGACATGAAGTAGTCAAACAAAGCTAAGATTTTAAATTCGCCACCAAGAATAATACACTGGTATATCCATTGGCTTAGACCTATTTTATCAGCGCTAGCCAGACTATCAGGAGGAGTAAAGGGTACCTAATGGAGTCTTTCCCTTCTCTCCACTTTCCTCATGCAACTGGGAGCTTCATATTTCTTTCTCCTTTTGCCTTATAGCAAAGTCAGTACTTTGGAAAGGGCCTCAAAAAGATTTTTTCATTAAGAAACTGATGAAGCTTCCAAGGCGGAAAGCATATGCCCTTGTGGGGGAATGGAGATGTGGCTTCTCACATTTGTGGAGTGGAGGCATCGGGGAGTAGTAGAATGAGCACCGGCTTTGCTCACAGGCCACGTTCAAGGTTCAGATCCCGGGTCTGCCATGTACTGCTTGTGGGTCACGAGAAAGCCTCTCAAGCTCTCTGGCACGCAGTATCCACAGTGGGAAAGGGAAGAGAGTAGCATCCAGACTGCAGTGTGGTAGAGAGGGCTGCGCTGACAATATCTGTAGTGAATCTGGCACCTGACGAGCTCCAAGAGGGCAGAGCTTGTGTGTGTTTGTCTTCATCACCACTTATATCATCACTGGTCTAATCTCTGACCCATGGTAAGGGCTCAAGAGAGAGCTGTTGAATGAGTCTATAAAATGGTAGCCATCGTTGCTGAAAGTTGGCTCTATACCAAGCTGGCCTACAGAATTTCCTCCGTTCACAGCCAAGAAAGTGGAGCTGTGTCCATGAGCCTGGTTTCCTGGGGTCACTAACCTTCCATGCTTTCTAACCATTCCAGGACAAAGAAGGGGCCTTCATGGTACGAGACTCCAGGACGCCGGGAACATACACCCTGTCTGTCTTCACCAAGGCCATCGTAAGGTGTGGCGCTAACTTGCTCAGCAGGGTGGGGAGAGACAGTCCTGATTGGGGGGGGAGGGACGAGGAAAGTGGCACACGGGGCAACGTCAGGCAGAGCCAGAGGTCAAGGGGTCACTGGGAAGGGGGTGTTTTCCCTGACCCCTCTGAGAAATCCAAAGCCAGAGAGAGTAGGGACATAACTGTAGTCACTAAGCTGGAAAGGGACAGAGCTGAGACGGGTGCCAGGTTCTTTTCCTGGTTAGCACCCCTGAGTGCAGAGTTCCAAAGAAAGAAAATACCTGGCCCTGTATTTGATGAGTTTATAATTAATTACACAGAATAATCAAAAAGATACTTCTGGCTGGAAGCGAGATTTTATAAATTCTAGTTCCAGCTCTGCTAATAAAGCTGCCTACCTACCATTTACTGAGTCCGTACTATGTGCAAGAACTTCATAGACTGTGTCCAAGCCTGATAAGCCCTGAAGGCAGGTGTCACTATGCTCCTTTCACAAAGAAGAAACTGAGGCTCAAAGAGCTGCTGGCACCTCCCTGAGGCAATGGAGTCCAAACGGTCAAGCCCTGTCCTGACTCTGCCAGCTGTTGGCAAGACCCTCTCTGTTTGTCTGCCCCTTTTCGGACCTCAGTTTCCATCTCTGTAAAATGATCTCAAATTCTCTTCTAATTAGAAAGTTAGGAAGAAAAAGCAGTTTGGCAATGACCAAAGTGCAGGCAGAAGTGAGGGAAGAGAGAAAAAGAATTATGAAGGGTCCTCAAGGGATACTTGTTGGAGGGCGAAAGGGTGTGAGTAAGACTCAGGGCAAGAGCAGGGTTTAGACAGTTGACAGAGACGAAGGCCACTGCCCAAGGAGGGGAAAGGATGCCCTGCACATCACAGAGGGAACTGCCTCTGCGACGGTGACAAGAGTGACCTGCAATAAGGTGGGATGGAAGAGAGTTGAGAACCAAAGCTGTGTGGGGGTCCCCAAGACCCTCCCCCCCAGGTTCAGTGATCCACCAGGAAAGTTCCCGGGGTCATCACATAGCGGCCCCCGAGGCTAAGATTTATCACAGCCGAAGGATGCAAAGCGAAATCAGCAAAGCGAAAAGGCACCTGGGGCAAAATGCAGAGAAAACCAAAAACACAAGCGTCCAAGAGTCCTCTCCCAGTGCGGTCACACCAGACATGCTGAACTCCAGCAGCAAGGGGGAGTGGCATCCACCAGGGAAGCCCATGAGACACTCAGTGCCCACGGCTGTCACTGGGGGCTGGCCATGTAGGCAGCCTCTCTGCCTAGCACGTAGCAAAACTCCAGGTTCCCAGAAGAAAGGCAGGCCCTGGGCATAACCACACTGTTTATACAAACAGTTTAGGCACAGGGGGACACCCCTATGAGTGAGAGAATGGTGAGAATCCTCCCGAAATCCAAGTCCTCGGATGCCCGCCAAGAGCCGATCTTACAAGTGGGCCTTTCTAACAATAGCAGTCAGGGCATTAAACTGGTGTGAAGGGGCCCAAGATGCTTCCTTAGCATATGCTGATAATTAGTTAGCTCCACAGAGCAGGGAAGGCAAACATGTAGCACGTATGAGACCACTGTGGTTGCAGAAGAAACATCCAGGCACTGCCTCCAACGGGGTCCAGAGGCAGCCTTTGGACCCAGGGCCGACCTGTCAAGACTGACACAGGTTGAAATCTACCTGCATCCTTGTGAGAGGGTGAAACGTAAAGCTAGCGGGGATCTGATGTCGGTCGACATTTTTGTGTCTAAACATTGCTTCTTAATCTCTGCGTTTATGTTTCATTTGTTTAAGTGAGAACAACCCCTGTATAAAGCACTATCACATCAAGGAAACAAATGACAATCCCAAGCGATACTATGTGGCTGAGAAGTATGTGTTCGATTCCATCCCACTCCTCATCAATTATCACCAGCACAACGGAGGAGGTGAGTCCTGAAGGACGGGGCGGGGGGCCGGGGGACCCTCACACAGGAACTTGGAGAAAAGCGACAAATGCCTTGCCTGGCTTCTTCATGTCAAACAAGTTGACCTTAAATAATAATTAAACATACAGTTCTGCTGTTGGGATCATGGGATTTCGCCACCTGCCCGTCCGTGTTTCTGACTCTTCTCAGAGAGGGTGAACTATCAGTGACAGGGCTTTGGGATTTGTTTTCCAGAATAAAAGCAGCTTTTGTACTGGGTTATATTTCTTCCTGGTGATTTCAGTTGGACGGGTGGTACAGCAAAACTCTAACCACAGCCTTTTGCTTTTGAATCACCCCAGGCCTGGTCACTCGACTTCGCTATCCGGTTTCTTCCTGGAGGCAGAAAGCGCCGGTCACCGCTGGGCTGAGATACGGTGAGCGGTGCATTCAGGAATGTGGTACACTTGCACTAAAACTCATGTCCCTAAAGGTCCGGGACAAATCTGAATGGACTTCCCATGAACCTAACTGTACCCCAGACTTAAAATGACCATTAGAAGAGGTCCACTGTATCTCTGGAGATGGTGTGCACAAATAAACATTTATGTCTGTGAGCAAGAGAGTTATGTATATGAGCACATTTATCTTGGCCAAGTCAATGTCCATTGGTTTTAGTTAAGCATCCATCGCTGAAGTATTTATTGAGCACTTACTTTGTACAGAGCACTCTTCTAAATGCTATTAGAAAAATATTAGGAAACAATGCCTTAGAATTGCCTGTCAACCCTGGAAAACCTTCTCTGTCTCCTCCAGGGAAATGGGTGATCCATCCCTCGGAGCTCACTTTGGTGCAGGAGATTGGCAGTGGGCAGTTCGGACTGGTGCATCTTGGCTACTGGCTCAACAAGGACAAGGTGGCCATTAAAACCATTCAGGAAGGAGCGATGTCAGAAGAGGACTTCATAGAGGAGGCTGAAGTCATGATGTAAGTGGTCCACACGAGATTATGCAAAGAAGCCTTGGGGAGGAGGCTCTTACATACCACTCTGGTGCCATGTTCTGCCAGCTCTCTGCTCAAATCCAGCGATGGCTTCTTGTGGCACAGAGAATAAAACCCCACTCTCACCATGGTCCACAAGGCCTGGCATGGCCTGGCCCTGCCTGCTCGTGATCTCATCTCCTACCCATCTCTCCTCTGGTTCACAACATGCCAGCCACACTGGCCTCCACTCCTCCTCACACACACCAGCTGACTCCCTGCCCTCCTTCAGGTCTAGGCTCAAAGGACACATTTGTGTTCTTTATTGGGGGGATGCATTTTGGGGAGATTGAGTTTGGACCATCTCACCCCTTGCCTTTTTCCTGCAGGAAACTCTCTCACCCCAAACTTGTCCAGCTGTACGGGGTGTGCCTGGAGCAGGACCCCATCTGCCTCGTGTTTGAGTTCATGGAGCACGGCTGCCTGTCGGATTACCTGCGCAACCAGCGGGGGCTCTTTGCTGCAGAGACCCTGCTGGGCATGTGCCTGGACGTGTGTGAGGGCATGGCCTACCTAGAAGAGGCCTGTGTCATCCACAGAGACCTGGTAAGACGGCGCAGGGCATCCACCTTCAGGTCCAGGATGAAGGGTGACTAAAATGGAGAGCCATCAAGACTGGGAATGCATTGGTCAAAGTCACACACCATCTCCCTTCCCCTCCCAACTTATTTCTTCTTCTGCCAACTTTGGGATGTCCTAGTAGGAAAGTGTTTCATGAGGACTTACATTGCGGCTCTAATCGCAGCCCCGCCTCTAACTTTATTTTTTAAATATATCTTTATTGATTTCAGAGAGAGGAAAGGAGAGGGAGAGAGAGAGAGACAGAAACATCAATGATGAGAGAGTCATTGATCGACCCCGCAACCCGGGCATGTGTCCTGACGGGGAATCGAACCCCGATCGCCTGGATCCTAGGTCCACGCTCAACTGCTGAGCCATGCCCGGCAGGGCCCACCTCTAACTTTAACCCTCTGAGATTCTGTTTACTTTCTTCCAAAATGAAACTAACAGCTCCTTCTTCCTGTCTGTGGCCTCCTTGGCCTCCTGGTAAAACAAGGAAACAGGACAAGCAGTTTTTCTCAAAGTGTTATCCCAGGACCCACACTGGGGCGGGCCTAGAACTACCCTCAGAACCTCTGGGGGTTGGGGCTCAGGAATAGTTATTTTAACATGTCCCACCATGGCACCGTGGGCACATCAAAATTGGACACTCACTGGAGTCTTTGATGGCTGAGGGCTCTTCCGATACAATGTTCTGGGATACTCACTGGGGGACCAGGTACTCTCCCTATTGAGAAACAGTTTTAAGAGTATTAGCAACCTCAAAACATTCTTATTTTAGTCAAGGAAGGCAGTCGTTTCCTAGCAGCCCTAACGTTAACATTTTTTATCACATTCGGTTGCATTAGAGCGTATCATTGGTTCACAACACCGTGGGCTTCTCTTCTAATTAGGATCTCAGAAATGAAGATAAAAGACTAGACTTACTTCTCCTGATAAGGGAAATCACACATCCCTCTTTCTAGCTAACTTGTCAGGGGCTTGAGAAGGTTAATTAACATTTGTAAAGCTCCTCTTGCCGTCTTACAACTGCACATAGACAAGCAAAGGACCCTGATTACAGGAGACTCTTAATTCCTGATTTTCCACCAACAGTTTCTCTTTCCCTTTTGTTCCCTGTCTCCCCTCCAGGCTGCCCGAAATTGTTTAGTGGGAGAAAACCAAGTCATCAAAGTGTCCGACTTTGGGATGACAAGGTAACAGGGACACACGGTGCTGGCACAGGCTCGGGAATGGGACTCCGGCCCCCAGAACACTTGGACATGCTCTCTCCACTCTCTTCCCAGGTTCGTCCTTGATGATCAGTACACCAGCTCCACGGGCACCAAGTTCCCCGTGAAGTGGGCGTCCCCGGAAGTCTTTTCCTTCAGTCGCTACAGCAGCAAGTCAGACGTGTGGTCATTCGGTGAGTGTCACCCTGGCCCCAGACCCACGTGATCTGGGTCTACTTGCCCTTGAACCGCTGGTGGTGAGGGAGTCCCACTGGTAGCCTCTGTGTGATAATAGCTCTAACAAGTACGAAGGGGCCCTCGTTACTTAGTTATTCTTAGAGATCTTTGAAATTGGGGGAGGGTAAAAATGAGAGTGCGAATTTAGGATTCTGGTGACTGCTGTGAGATCCAACGCTGGAAGAGTCAGGAGATTGGTATATGAGTTCCTTGAGGGCCAGGACCATATTTTATCCAATATTTTATTCCCCCACTTAATCTTCAATAACTATTTAGTCATTCATTCTACAACATTCATAGAGCACCTACTGTATGCCAGGGCCTAATCTAGGTGCTCACAATACAGTGATGGACAGAATAGGAAACACTCCTCTTGGAGCTGAATTTTAGGAGGAGACAGATAACAGTTATGTAAACAAGTTAACCAACATGCCTATAAGGTAAAGTCAGGTAGTAATAAGTGCTATGAATAAAACTAAGTAATGGGATAGAGCCAGGGTGGGGAACCTTTTTTCTGCCAAGGGCCATTTGGATATTTATAACATCATTCACTGGCCATAAAAAGTTATCAACTTAAAAATTAACTATGAATAAAGCTCCTAGATTTATTGAATTTCGAGTCCCGCCTGTGGTTGACGTGGCAGGGCCAGATCAAATGATTTTGTGGGCCGTAAAAGGTCCACGGGCTGGATATTCCCCACCCCTGGGATAACTGGGATGGAACTAAATCACAGCTGTCCCATTAAGACAGAACTTTTGACCTCCAGTTTTCCACAGTCCTCACTAATCCCTATTACACACTTCACCCACTTCACTCATTTACATCACGTGTAGACATCTGAGTTGGTGCCCCCTGCAAGTTTTAGTAATAGCATTTGAGTTAAATATAACAAAGGGCTGAGCTTGACAGCTCCTTCACCACTAAGAAGGCTGAGAAATCTCCGTTCTTTAGAAATAGTGCAGGCCTAATTAGCCTCAGGTGGCTTGATACTATACTTCTTGGACGTAGGAACTTGACTCTTAATGTCACAGAGTCTGGATTTCTAGATTTGTTTGCTATTTGTGAGCTTTATCATTAGCTGTGCTGCACTCACCATGTCTTGTAGGTGTGCTGATGTGGGAAGTCTTCAGCGAAGGCAAAATCCCATATGAAAACCGAAGCAACTCGGAGGTGGTGGAAGACATCAGTACTGGATTTCGGTTATACAAGCCCCGGCTGGCCTCCTCGCATATCTACCAGATCATGAATCATTGCTGGAAAGAGGTCAGTAAAGGAAGTGGTTTCCCCCTGGATTATAACCTACAGCTTCAGTGTCTGCCCACTTCCCCAGAGAAAGGAGCCCTTTTAGAGGGTGAGTCAGCAGGGATGAAAGAAATAGCTGAGCAGGGAAAGTGACTTAGAGCGTCTATTAACGAGAGAGATCTGGCAGTGATCTTAAATGTCATTTGATTTGCTACATAACGTCACAAGCCATCAACATACCGTCAAAGAGAAAGGCTATGTCAGTATTTCAGTTTTCTGAGAAAAACAAAAACATTCGTGTAACGTCATAAACCCATTGCACGTACATAAAGTTAGCTCTATAAATTGGGGATTAGAAGTTCACTTGTGCTGTGAAAATATTAAAATGACTTAGAGTTCATTTTATTCATTCAACAATTCAGAAAGGGGACCCAATTACCCTGTACCCTCCCAGATGTCTCAGCTTACCCCGCACTTGGGTTGCAGGCTATGCCTAGAACCATATCAGCATGAGTCTCGGGTGTCCTTTGGTGAGTTAGGAAATTGCAGATTTCAACCAAAGTTGAAAGTTGCTGAAACAGGCAGTTAATACAAATTCAGATCACTGAAGGGTAACAGGGTAGAATTGAAAAACTACAGACTACTTGGGTTTTGCCTCAGCTTTGCCCTTAGTCATTAATCTTAGACAATTCTCTAAGCCTCCACTTTCTGAGAGAATTAGATAATGCTTGATTTGTAAGTCCATAGATCTTTTATAATCAGAAACAAAGATACAAACAAACAAGGGCACAAAACAAATCTAGTCCACTTCCCAAGGGTTAGGTACTATAATAATTATGATAAATGACATTTATTTAGCACTTTTTTCTTTCTTAACTTAATAAACGTTATGGTTTAGGAGTTTTAGATTTATAGAAAACTTGAGCAAATAACACAGAGTTCCCACTAAGTAACATTTCGCATTAGTGTAGCATAGTTATTATAATTCTGTCGGCCACTATTAGCTGAAGTCCATAGTTTACGTTAAGGTTCACTCTTTGTGTTGTGCAGTTCTATGAGTTTTGACAAATGTATTGTATTTTTCTACCATTATAGTATCATACAGAATAGTTTCACTGCCCTAAAATCTACCATGTTCCACCTTTATTTATCCCTTCCCTTCTTCTCCCCAAACTCCTGGCATCTATGGATCTATTTATTATCCAAGTTTTGCCTTTTCTAGAATGTCATATAGTTGGAATCATATAGCATGAAGCCTTTTCAAATTGAATTATTTCACTTAGCAATGTACGTTTAAGATCCCTCCATGTCTTTTTGTGGCTTGACAACTCTTTCTTTTTATCACTGAATAGTATTCCATTGTATGGATATACCACAGTTTGTTTACCCATTCATCTGCTGAAGGACAACTTGATTGATTCCAGTTTTTGGCAATCATGAATAGAGCTGTTATAAACATTTGTGCGTAGGTTTTCGTATGGACATAAGTTTCAGCTCAATTGGGTAAATATCTAGAAGTGTGGTTTCCGGATCATATGATAACACTATGTGTAGCTTTGTGAGAAACTGCCAGATGGTCTTCCAAAGTGGCCGTACCATTCTGCGTTCTCACCAGCAGGGAGAGCTCCTGTTGCTCCACACCCTGACCAGCATTTGGTATTGTCAGTGTTAGTGATTTGAATTTTAGCCATTGTAGTAGATGTGTAATGGTATCTCTGCAACAAGTGGTATCTTGTTTTAATTTGCAATTCCCTAATGACATATGATACTGAGCATCTTTTCATATACTTATTTGCCATTTGTGTAGCTTCTTTAATGGGATGTCTCTTTAGATCTTTTGCCCATTTCTTAATCAGGCTATTTGTTTTCTTGCTTTTAAGTTTTAAGAGGTCTTTGTGTATTTCGGATATAAGTCTTTTATCAAATATGTGTTTTGAAAATATTTTGTCCCAGCCTATGGCTTGTCTTTTCATTCTCTTAACAGTGTCTTTTATAGAGTGGAAGTTTTAAAATATTTTTTTAATATTGATTTCAGAGAGAGGAAAGGAGAGGGAGAGATAGAAACATCAATGATGAGAGTCATTGATCAGCTGCCTCCTGCACGCCCCCTACTGGGGATCGAGCCCCCAACCCGGGCATGTGCCCTGACCTGGAATCCAACCATGACTTCCTGGTTCATAGGTTAACGCTCAGCCACTGAGCCACGCCAGCCAGGCAGAGTCGAAGTTTTTAAATTATAACAAAGTTCAACATCAATTTTTTTCCTTTATGAATCATGCTTTTGATGTTGCATCTGAAAACTCATTGCCAAACCCAAGGTCACCCAGATTTTCTCCTATGTTATCTTCTAAAATTTTTATAGGTTTTGCATTTTACATTTAGGTCTATGATCCTTTGGAGTTCATTTTTGCAAAGGATATATGGTCTATGTCTAAAATCAGTGTATTGCATATGGATATGCAATTTGTCCAGCATCATTTTAAAAGCATATTTTAAAATCAGCAGAGCCCGGCCAGGTATGGCTCAGCGGTTGAGCATCAACCTAGGATCCAGGCGATCGGGGTTCGATTCCCAGTCAGGGCACATGCCCAGGTTGCGGGCTTCATCCCCAGTCAGGGGCATGCAGGAGGAGCCGATCAATGACTCTCTCATCATTGATGCTTCTATCTCTCTCTCTTCCTCTCCTTTCCTCTCTCTGAAATCAATAAAGATATATTTTTAAAAATAAAAAATAAAATAAAATCAGCAGAAAGTATTGCTGTTGAATTCTAGTTTGCTTTTGTAACTAGCTATGACACACAAGTACTAGGAACTCACAGAGTTCTTGTCTTCCCTCTCTAGAAACCAGAAGACCGGCCATCTTTCTCCAGACTCTTCAGTCAGCTGGGTGAAATTGCAGAATTGGGACTTTAGCAGAGACTCAGCTTCAGATCCTGAGCCGGGGAAGAAGTCCTCCCTCCATAAAGCATTAAAAGCTGCCGCTAGCCCAGGACTCCCCAGAGGCAGCTGGCCTGTGGCACAGTCCCTGAGCTGCCAGGAGGCAGCACCCTGACAGAGGCTGGCACCAAGCCACAGGCAGAGGCTCAGCCAATGACCTGGGAGCAGGGCCAGGCAGGAGCCATGTCTCTACCCTCCCTCCAGCCTTTTATCTTGGGCGGTGCACAAACCTCAATCTGACAGCTTTCGGGTAACATTTCTTGCACTTCTTAGAGAAAGAGAGAGAGGGGATAGGACCCTGGGTTGTTCCTTTATTATTATTTTAAACATGGATCTAAGGTTAATGGTCAGGGACCTTTTATTTGCACTGACAACACAAAACCCCAGGGTTTGGGGCAAGAGGAATGAGCAGAAGGACTCCTGACAAAGGAGAGCTGTGAGTTAATTAAGGTCAGGAAGAGTAAGCTGCTCCGTGCCAGGCTGTGGGCCACCGCTTCCTGCCGTAGAGCAGGGAGGAGCAGCTGCTCACCCCGGAGGCCAGGCCGGGTATTCTGAGAAGCGGCCTTGTGAGGTTTTACTCAGAGTACTCTGCCACCTTTCTCCTTGGAGGGAGCACTCTGATGGACTTGGGTGAACAATTTCGGTCCCACTGTTGCAACTTTGGGTATCTGGTGCCCGGGCAGAAAGAGGGCATCTGATGGTAGGGAACCCACTGCTACAGAGAAAGACCTTAGATGGCTACCAGGCTGATGCTCACCTTTAGTGCCAAGCCAGGCAGGTGACTCTGCCTCCCCTCGGGCACGCACTGCAGGCATCCTAGGAGGAAATGGTTGCTTCTGAACGCAGACTCTGTCATCGAGGCCCCGCCACCCTCACCTCCAGGAGTCAGCCCCCTCTCTGCACTCTTCCATCAACAACAGAGGGCAGCATTGTGTTGGGCAGTGCGGCCCTGCAGAGAAATAGAAGTTTGTTTAAGCCTTAGAGATTTGCACCTTTAAGGTTGAGACTTTAAGTCTCCCAAAGCTCTGGGAGAGGAACAAGGGGCCTGTTCTTGCTCAAACCATCTGGATGGAAACTGAGTCAGGCACTAAGTGGGGTGCTCCTAAGATGCATAGCGATGGCTGTTGATTGAGCACCTGAATATGCAAAGTGAATAGGTGCTGAGCTACAAGCCTTCTCTGGTGTTCTCCCTGAGTCACATCAACCTTGTGAGATAGTATTATTATTCCCATTCTATAGATAGTAAAACTGAGGCTTTAAAAAGCCAGGACACCTGCTGGAAGCGACAGAGCTAGGAAGTATAACGCCCAGGATCCTAGCCCACATCTGCCTGACTCCAATGCACAGTTTCTTCATTCCTACTCAACACTGTCTTTTACCCAGGAAGAAAGGGACTGCAGAGGAGATAAAAAGAGCTGAGAGGAAAGGCAGGGAAAGTCAATAAAGACCTCAGCAAAGCACCACCGGAAAGGAAGGTTGGCCCCGCATAGACCACTGTGATTGGCACTGTAGCCCTCCAACTTGGAACAGGACCTTCTCTTTCCTCATCTGTAGCCTCCCCTGCCAGGGTTAATGAGTTTGGACTTACTCAGGTAATTAATGCTTTGATTCACCCAACCCTCCAGAGTCATGTCACATGAAGTCATTTATAGGTGAGCTTCAAAGCGGCTTGGAGAGATTCTTCTGCAGAAGTATAAGGGCTCTTTAATCATTCCAGCACTGAGCTGGCTGCAGTCTTCTTGGACACTCTGTGGGGAAGGGTATTCTCCAATGTAAGAGAGAGTTCACTTTCCTGCAGCGTTCAGATAAAACTCTTGGAGTGATTGTTGGATGGTGTTGCAATCAGCTTTCTAAACCATGTGATATTTCGACGAGCTGGAGACTCAGATGCATAACTTTTAACTATAATTTTTATGGAACTAGGAGCCCTAAGAGCAAACTCCATCATTCAGAAGATGATCTTACTCAATGTATCCAAAATCATCCCTGTGTACTTTTTTGTACATTCGCGTTTGGAATCCTTAGTTGGAAATGATTTCCGGGACATCCAGCCTAGAAGAAAAACATGGGAAATGACTGATATCTGTAGTCTGGTTTAGAAAACTCCCCCTTGCATGGTATTATCTTGTTCAAGCTCAGAGTCATTGGGGCCTTAACTGAACGCATGTAAATAGTTCACCTCCTACTGTTCTATCCTGCAAAATGGGCTTCCAGCCTCTTGTTTTTTTCCTAACATTTTGAAAATGGTGCCACATATTCCCTGAAAATCCCTTATACGAGGTTTTGGTTCTGGATGCATTTTACAGTTTTGCCTTTTGTACCTTTGGAGACTGTATTTATATATGCATAGGTGGGATATTTATTAGTGTACAGTCCTTGCTAGTGTTTGCAACAAGAATATAACAAATATCTCTCACCCTTCATAAAGCGCATAAAGTTAAAGGTTGGGTCCAGCAAATAAAGCTGTCGTTTTAATAACTCCAGTGTGTATGGCCTGGGTTTCATATTTGTCCCAATGTCAAACAACCACAGATTTTCCTTAAATAAAAATGGTTACATGGTTTCATGCTTCACAGACAAGTAAAAACTATATGCCAGTCAATATCCGTTCAACAGGCAAACACCCAATGCTTCCTATGTACCTATGACTTGCCGCGCGGAGCAGAAACAAAGATGAAAAAGGCAGAGTCTTTGCCTTTAAGAAACGGCAGGTATGGTTGGGAAGGCAGAGTATAAACCAGTAAAATCGTATGTCATACAGCAATTAGAGCAACAACGGAAATATGGTCAAGGAAGAGAAGGGCTCGAGCTCAGGAAAACTGATGGAATCTAACACTTCATTGGGGGAAGGTGATGTCACCTGCTGTTTGAAGTGCGGCCTCTGGACCAGCAAACAGCAGCTCAACCAGCTGGTGAGAAATGCAAATTCTCCGGCTTCACCGACGCCCACTGAATGAGAACCTACATTTTAACAAGGCCCACAGGTGGTCCTATGCACGTGAATGTTTGGGAAGCACTGTCATAGAGGATACAATGTCTGACTCAGTTTTGAGGGTGAATTATGGTGTGTGCTTTTTTAAGGCAAGCAAGCGGGCAGAAATAAGATAAATCCTTTCCAGGGAGAGGGATAGAGGAAGCAGAATGTACTGGGAAGCTATTATCAGTGTACCATTGTGGAGCATAAGGGGTGTGCATGTGTGTGTGTATATGTGTATGTGTGTGCATGTGTGGTCTAAGCAAGGGTGAGGAAGGTAGAAGGGGTAGGCAAATTGAAAGTGAGGCTATAGATCTAGTTAAGGACCATCTTACAAAAGAAAAGGAAAAAAAAAAAAACCCTGCAACTCTATCTATAGATAGAAAAGATGTCATTGAGCAAGGAGAGAAGGCCAATTTTTTTTTTTTTTTAATGATTTTACTGATTTTTTTAGCGAGATGGGAAGAGAGAGGGAGAGAAAGAGAAACAACGATGTGAGAGAGAAACATCAATCAGCTGCCTCCCCCACACACCCTCACCCGGGGAATGTGCCCAGACTGGGAATCGAACTGGCAACCTTTCAGTGCATGGGATGACACTCAACCAAATGAGCCACACCAGCCAGGACATGAAGGCCAAGTTTGTGTTTAAAAATACATTCTGGCAGCAGCATGTTGAGTGGATTTGAGAGAAGCACCCTGGTGGAAGATTTCTGCCTTGCTCCTAGTACCAGATTATTGTTCATACTCATTCAGTGTTGTCTGCTGTGTGGGCGACATGTGGAAATTGTAATTCAGTCTTCAGTCACAGTTGGACAGACATAAACAGATGTTCCCCACTCTCTTAAAATCTCAGGGATATGAAAGCTGGGTTATTATATCCCTGTACCTTTCAGTTCACCAGATGCCCATGTCCACCCACTGCAGAAGCCAGTTCGGGCACCAGAGGACCATTGGGCACAGTTGAGAAAGCCTATGGCTTCCACGCCACCCTTCACGGGACTCACCTCTGGGCCTGACTCCCACTGGCAGATGATCCAGATAGGAAACTTCTAAAGGGGGTTAGATGAACAGATCTGCTTCTTCAGAGCAGTTACACGCAGACCCTGCTCTCTCTGGAATCTTCCAACACTTTGAGGTCCACCACTCTGAGAAAGAAGCAGCACACACTCCATTCAGCAAGACGGGCTGTGTGTGTGTGTTTTCAATGACTTTGACATTCTCCCCAAATCACGGTGTGTAGTTGACTTGAGAAAAATACAGAACCATACACATTCTGTTAGAAGGAGTTGTAGAGATCATTTATTTCATGGATAGCCACCATCCCCCTGCTATTGCAGGGCACCGTGATGGGTGCCCTCCTTGTCAGTTAGGGACCAAGCACGTCACATTCACAGTCAGGTAATTCAAGCAGGGCTTGCTTACAAAAGGACAATTTAAACAGTGTGGGTCAGGTTTAGGGGAACCACAGGAGTGGTACAGAGGAAAACAACAGCCACGGAGCAGTTACCACCACCCCTGTGCCTGAAGGGACAGGAGGGGAGGTCATCTGAATGTGGAAGCAGAGGGTCATTTGAATGTGGAAGCAGAGGGTCACTTGGAGAAGGTTGCCTTTAGAGAAGAGGACCTTTAGTGAGGGACAGAGGAAGCCCAAGGCAGCATCCCAAGGAGGAAGCCAGAAGAACAAATATGCTGACTCCGCTCTCCTTCCTTCCCCCCTCAACTGCTGAGGCTTCTTGTTAACCAAACCCACTGGAAGCCAGAGGGCAAGGAAACCCTAGTAGGGTAGTCCAGAGAGGTTGGTCTCCTGGGGGCACAGCAGGGTGAGGAGAGCTCAGTGGTCCGGCGGAGCAAGAGATGCCAACCTGCCAGTTCCCACGCTCCATGCTCCCAACCACTCTGTGGGGTTGACTACAGGGCCACCTGTGCCAGCCTGAGCGCACAGCAGCACCGACTCCATTTTACCTCAGCTATGTGTTTGCATTCCAAACCCATCTGGAATATGCTCAGATCCTCCTTACCAGTCCTTCTCCAAAGTTATTGTAAACATTTGTTTAAATAAACATGGAATGTTCTGTGCTATCAAGTTACGTGTAAAAGAGCCAACCTTCAAGGGAGGCCAGTTCTCTAGAAATTGTGGGAAATGAGAAAAGGGGGGGGGGGGATAGCAAATGGCCTAGATGAAGCTGAAAAGTTTCAACAGCAAAACATCCCTCAATATTGCATCTATAAAGAAACAGGCCCTTAGATGCAGAGACCAGACTGATGGTTGCCAGAGGGGAGGGAAGTTGGGGGAGCTGGGTGAGAAAGGTGAAGGGATTAAGAAGTTCAAATCGGTAGTTATAAAATAGTCATGGGCATGTAAAGTAGAGCACAGGGACTACAGTCAATAACTTGCACGGGGATCACTTTGTAAAGTATCTGATTGTCTAACCACTATGCTGCACACCTTGAAACTAATACAAAATAATATTGAATGTCAACTGTAATTGAAAAATAAAATTTAAAAAATAAACTTAATGTGTGAGAACAAGACCTTAAAAATATTTCTTCTATAAAATAATAGGGTGACTTCTAAGGAGTTTGTGAGGATGACATGAGCCCATCCATATACAGTATTTAGCACAGGGGCTGGCCCCAAATAAACATCCAATCAATGTTAGATTTAAATATATCCTTTAACAATTTTTTTCAGATTCAATGAAGAAAATGGGCAATCCAGTTTCCTAGGGAAAGACCAGGGCCTGGGTCCGGCTGGCCTTGAGCAACCCTTCCCCTCTCTACCCCTGTTCTCTCATTTGTAAAATGAGGCAGTTTTGAGCAAGTGGTCAGGTTTGATGTAATGGACAATATAAATTGTGTAACTGACCATTAAGTTTCTCTTTTCCTGCTACTACACGAACGTTAACTACATGAACCAGATGTGGGAGCCTTCTGTAGCAATATAGAGATTTTTTAAAATTATTTTCTTTCCATCGCAAACCCCTTTCTTTCTTTCTAAAATTTATTACTTACTAAAAACATTTTTAAAATAACGCATCTTTATAATTTGCATTAAATATGTTTTTGGAATAAGGTGACATATTAATGAATACATGGATTCCATCGGGGAGAGCAAAATGAGGCTGTAGGTAATTTTGGTTAAAAGCATGAGTTTTGGGCCCCGCTGGGCGTGGCTCAGCAGTTGAGCGTCAGCCTGGGATCCAGGAGATCAAGGTTTGATTCCCGGTCAGGCACATGCCCTGGTTGCGGGCTTGATCAATGACTCTCTCATCACTGATGTTTCTATCTCTCTCTCCTTCTCCTTTCCTTTCTCTGAAATCAATAAAGATATATTTAAAAATAAATAAATAAAAAATAAAAGCATGAGTTTTGGTTTCACTACCTGGGCAGGTTATTTAACCTGCCTTAGTTTCTTCAGTTATAAACTGGGGCTCATAACTATATTTTCCTCATTGGATAACTGTGAATATTACATGAAGTCACGTACTTGGTAAATGTTAGCCATTATTATTATTAATATCAGTATTTTTTATTTCTCCTTCCAGAACCAATTCTTATGCTCATTACAGATACTCCACTATTGGTTTCTATGAAGCAGGGTCTGCCAAAAGATTTTATACGGAGGCCTAGATGTCCTAAGTGACTTGAGGCTTTTGTAAAAACAAGGCAATATTGCCACACAGGGCAACACCATGCCTGGGACACAGCTTTGCAAGTGGCAAAGCAATTCTTACCTGGCGGCTGCGATCTTCTCATGGTGGACGGTGCTGGACGTGAAGGGAATCTGAGGGCAGCAGACAGACAGCTACGAATTTCACGGGCAACATGTACACTAAGATTTCACTTTTGATTACTCATTCAACCCACTTTTACTGAACTCCTGTTAGGCAAAAGTCTCTGAGGATGCAATGGGGAGCAAGAGGGACACACGCCTTCTCTTAGGCTTTACATCCCACTGGTGGGATGCAGGCAGGTAGGTCAACAATCGCAACACAGCGTAACAAGTGGTGTGACGGAGGCAGCCCAGGCAGCTATAGACAGCTAACCTTAACCTAGCCCAGACACAGAGGGGTCTTGGAGGAAGTGACATCTAAGGGGACACTAGAAGGAAGAATAGAAGTTGGGCAGCACTGTGGGGGAAAGTGGAGAAGGGGGAGGGGAAGGAGAAGAGATCATTCCAAGCAAAAGAGCCCAGCTTGCGCAAAGGCCGCAAGAGGGAACACAGCAAGTTTGGGGAACTAAGAGATTCCTTTCTGCTGAAGCAGAGCAAGCTTGTCCGCAGAGAGGTACACGCCAGGCCACGAAGACCCTTGCAGGCCTTGGGCTCCATCCTGAGAGTGTGGGGAGCGCATGAAATGCTTTAAGCGTGGCCAAGGCGTGTCTTTTAACTCAATTTTCCACATTCAGGGAGACTTTGGAGTGTATCCAACCCACTTCACTCTGTCGAAGGGGAAACAGGTAGGTGGAGTGAGTTGCCTAAGGACACTCAGTTGCAAAAGTAGGGCCAAAAGGCAAGCCTCTGAATTTCCAACACAGTGGTTACAACAAGACCATACTGCTTCCCTTATAAGCAAAAAGAATTCAGGGATCAGAAATTTATTTTTGCCTAAGATCTAACTATATATGTAATAGCCTCCTTTGTTTTTAAGCGACTTGTTCCTAAAAGGTGAAAAGACAGGGAAGAAACCACAAGGAGAAATATGTCTTCCAGAAATGGACACCATCCACAACAGTGTTCCCTTTAGAATGAAAATCCGTTCTCTCATTGTTACATATTTGACACTCAAAATCCCAAGGATCACAGTGGAAAATGAAAAAAAAAAAAAATGTTTTTAAAGAAGGAAACCTCAGTCCAGCTGGCGTGGCTCACTGGTTGAGGGTCAACCCATGAACCAGGAGCTCGTGGTTCGATTCCCAGGCAGGGCACATGCCTGGGTTGCAGCCTCCATCCCCAATAGGGGGCGTGCAGGAGGCAGCCAGTCAATGACACTCTCATCACTGATGTTTCTCTCTCTCTCTCCCTCTCCCTTCCTCTCTCTGAAACCAATAAAAACTTTTTTTTTTTTTTTAAAAGAAAGAAACCTCAGTTCCGTTTTTAAAGCCATCTTTCACGAACACCCCCACAGCTTTCCCACATGGCATCAGGGACAGAAATATATGTGTGTGTATATATATATACCATCCTTTCCNCCCCCACAGCTTTCCCACATGGCATCAGGGACAGAAATATATGTGTGTGTGTATATATATATACCATCCTTTCCAAAAATAGCAATTTAAATTAGAGTGATGTAACATCAAACCACAGAGGATCATGATTTCTGAGTGCTTGGGAAAGGGTGTGAGATCAGCGAGGACATAGACTGCCCAGCCCTTGGCTGAGACTTGAGTAATATGGCCCCTCTATAAATAGCCCCTGATAGGAAGAGTCCCATGATTAAGTATAAATTTGTGGGCCCTCATCAAACATTTCCAAATGTTCCCCTATAACAGGACTTTATCCCTTAAATCTGTACACAGTATGCCTTACACTGTCTCAAATGCTTTCAAATGATTGGCCCTGTGAGGTAGGTATGGCTCCTTGCAGCTACGGTGCCATCTCAGGAACAGAGCGGTGCAGCGACTTACTTCAAGGTCAGGAGTTGGTGAGGTCTGCCTTCAGCCTGGTCTTTGGAGAGCCCTAAAGGACAGATGAAGCCTTGAAGAGAAAGGTGCCCGTCCTCTCAGTTCCTTCCTGGCCTTTGCCAGGAATTACTTCGTGTCACCATATCTTTTCCTTTCTGTCCATTAGGCAGGCCTTCCTGAATGAGGTTGAGGCAGGTCCTGCTTAAGCGATGGCAGCTTCGGGGATTGGCTTTAAGGAACTGAAAGAAAGTTACTCTTTTTCAGTCTTCACCCGAGGATATTTTTTCCATTGCTTTTCAGAGAGAGTGGAAGGGAGAGAGGGAGAGAGAAACATCGATGTGAGAGACCATCATTGGCTGCCTCCCAAACCCACACCGGACTGGGCGGGGAAGGAGCCTGCAACCGAGGGACCTGCCTTTATCGGATTGGAACCCAGGACCCTTCAGTCCAGGGCCGACGCTCTGACCACTGGGCCAAACCTGCCAGGGCCAGAAGTTATTCTTGACCCGAGAGCAGCATTAGGGACCAGACTCCAAAGGCGCCCCTGCCCCCCCCCCAGGTGTTTTTCCTATGGCCTCACCCTGTTCCTTTCCTTCTCAGAGCACCTCCCAGCTCTAACTGGACATGTGCGAGGTCAGTTTTCGGATGTCCCGTCTCTCCTGGGAGATGCTAAGCTCCCAAAGGGCAGGGACCCCGTGTTTTGTACACCAGTGCACACCCAGCTCCCGGCACGGTGCTCGGAGCAAACTAGGTGCTCAGCAAACACCAGGCGGATAAACGAGCCTTGGAGACAACGTGAGATCCACGGGCCCGAACGCAGCCCGAGGCTTCTGCTCTCGCACCGCCGCGCAGGTGCGGCTCCAGCGCGGGGCCCGGGGACAGGTC